TTTGGGGTTTTTGTGTGACATTATGTCATATTTGCTTTTCTGCCTCTGTTTTATATTTGTTCCAATACATACAAAGGGAATAAACATGTGTATAGCAAAACATGTGTTAATGCAATACCTTTTTTGTGTGAAATACTTGATTTTCAGGAAAAATATCAAGGGTGCCAACAATTTCGGCCATGACTGTATATTATATTATTGATTGCTAGGTGGGATGCAGTAATTAATTTAATATAGCACGTTTGCAGCTATATGAATTTCACACACACGATTTTTCCATCTCTGAACTTTTTGCTTATATTTATACATTTTGGTTGGTTCACCTTTTAGTGCTAGCAGCTTATTTCTGAAGCGCTCTCTCTTCTTTCAGTTTTTTACTTTAGGTTACGGATATAGGGTGGAAGAGTTAAAACTACTGTCAGGTTTTTAGTGTTGCTGTGCCATGTAACCAACCATGTAACAAAGTTGGAAGTGACAAAATGCATCGGGCGTATTTACAGTACATGGTGACCAGACGAAACCGAATGTGACGTGGCGGAGAGACCAGAGCATTCCAGAGGTGGAGAGAGTTTATGTCAGCCTGATGACATTTTGAATATAGATTATGAATGGTTTTCTATCAATAAAAATTAAGAGTGACTGGTTTGTTGTACCATTGGAGGCTGTTTCTTTTTCTTTCATATAAATTTATGGTGATTAAATAGCTGGATGGAGGAGTAATCTGATGATGTGATATCCCGGAACTGAGGTGTAATTATACACAAAGCGAGCTATGCCAGTCAGGAGAACGGGTAGCATAGGGTTCTGGTGAGGTTTCCTGTCTGGAAGGAGAGGGACCTCATAAGCACTTGCGGTGCTGTGGAGAAAATTTTTGGAGGAAAAACTGAAGCACTTTTTTCTGCATTCTTTTGTGGACTTTATTTGAGGACTATACTAATATTAACATTTTCAATATTCTAATAGTGTTAAATTTTACTTAAACTACTAACCACTGTATGGTGGACACATTGTTCTTTTACATATTGATATATTATTTTGTTGATCTAATAAGGTGGTAGCAGTGATTTGTCAGAATAAGTTTGACACAATTGTATGTTTATTGTGAAACGAAGGCGGTGAGGTGGTGAATTGTTTTCACGGTTAACTTAGTACATAGCACAGGGTTTTTTATTTAATTTAGGTTTTTAGTGTTGCTTGTTGTCACATGGGAGGGAACTTATCCCTTCACTTCCTTCTCCAGTCACTAAAAGGAGAAACAAAAATAAATGTCTTTAACAATGACAATTAAAACACTTTCTTTTGACAGAGTAGGGCCACTGCCAGCTTTTATTTGTTGTCCATAGCACTGTTTTCCTCTTATTTTATATACCAGTAAAATTTTCAGATTGGGGTAAGCAAACGTGTAAGGTAACATATGTGTTTACAATAAATGTAAATTTAAATTGGCTGTGCAGTCCATAAGGCAGAACTCTATAAAATAAAATAATAACAGTGTTTCTAAAATACATCTCCTTGTCAATAATCAGAAGTGATTTGTAAAAGAGTCTAGGCTTTGTTTCTCTAGAGATAAAGAAATATTCAACTCTGTGGACATCTTCCACACTTCTACACCCAATTAGTAAAGGCAGATACATTAATTTTATTTCTTGATATGCATTGATGAACAAACCATGCAGTTCAAAGACAGCAAATTAGTGTGTTGAAGTAAATACCTGATATACAAAGGATAGAATGTCCAGTTTCAAGGTCATAATTTTTCATGACCAGCTCTGTCTAAAGCAATGTATAAGTGATCTACAAATACAATGTGTTTCTGTTTAATAAATGTTATAAAGTGAAGTGTAAGGGAAATCATTGGAAAAGGAATGCAGGAATGTAGGAATTGCATAATAAATTTACTTGCTGAGCTGAATGCAAACATTCTGAATGTTATACCAGAAAAATAAACCAACAAACATAACAATAACACACACTTTAGTAAAAAAATTCAAAGAATTTGTGAAAAAAAAACCCTCTGCTAATAAATAATAAGTAACAGGGCTGGGCATAGCATGAGCACAACAGTGCTGTTACCTGGTCTGACAGACTAGCCAAAAAGGCATGGGCTTGAGACCTGAGAAGTACTACGGCAAACTGATCTAAGGGATCAGCCAAAAAAGCCTGGACTTGAGGCATGAGCATCGGCACTTTGAAAGGAAGCCAAGAGGATTAATGTAATTTTTTGCTATGTTTGAATTGATGGTGGGAACCCTTGTGAGGACAGCCAGTTTGTGAACTGGGCCAACAAGCCCTTAAACAGTATTTTCTGGCCGGACCAAACTCTTGGGAAGCACTACACTTGAGAAAAATACCTGGAATATCACAGTGTATATATAAAAGCAAGAGATTGCTGGAGGAAAAAAAAACTAAAACCAGTTAGAGAACACAACATCCCTATATGTTTTATGTCATTTGCACCATAGTTCAAGACATTGACAGTTTTACCTCATATTAACACTTTACACATACCTTAGAATTATGTGCTGCTAATAATCAGAATAATTCTGGTGCTGCAACTATAAGGCCAAACCTAGAGCTAAACATAAATGAACAATTTTTAATCAGAGGATAGCAACAAGTCAATTTAACTCCTGGGATATTGATCTGGTCAGTTAAGTAGCAGAGGGGGTTGTTAATCAGTTTCAGCTGCTTTGGTGTTAATGAAATTAACAACAGGTGCACTAGATGGGCAACAATGAGACGACCCCCAAAGCAGGAATGCTTTTACAGGTGGAAGCCACTAACATTTTTTCCCTGCTCATCTCTTCTGACTGTTTTTCACTAGTTTTGCATTTGGCTAGGGTCAATGTCACTACTGCTAGCATGAGGTGATACCTGGACCCTACAGAAGTTGCAAAGGCAGTCCAACTCCTTCAGGATGGCACATCAATAGGTGCCATTGCCAAAACGTTTGCTGTGTCTCCCAGCACAGTCTCAAGAGCATGGAGGAGGTTCCAGGAGACAGGCAGTTACTCTAGGAGAGCTGAACAGGGCTGTAGAAGGTCCTTAACCCATCAGCAGGACCGTATCTGCTCCTTTGTGCAAGGAGGAACAGGATGAGTACTGCCAGAGCCCTACAAAATTACCTCCGGCAGGCCACTGGTGTGAATGTCTCTGACCAAACAATCAGAAACAGACCTCATGAGGGGGGCCTGACATCCTCTAGTGGGCCCTGTGCTCACTGCCGGGCACCATAGAGCTTGATTGGCATTTGCCATTGAACACCAGATTTGGCAGTGACCACTGGCACCCTGTGCTTTTCACAGATGACACACACGTGACAGATGTGAAAGGATCTGGAGAAGCTGTGGAGAATGTTATGATGATGTAACATCATTCAGCATGACCTTTTTGGTGGTGGGTCAGTGATAGTCTGAGGAGGCATATCCATGGAGAGACGCACAGACCTAGGTTAGACAATGGCACCCTGACTGCCATTAGGTATCAGGATGAAATCCTTGGACCCATTGTCTGACCCTACACTGGTGCAGTGGGTCCTGGGTTCCTCCTAGTACACAACAATGCCTGGCCTCATATGGTGAGAGTATGCAAGAAGCTCCTGGAGGATGAAGGAATTGATTCCATTGAATGGCCACCATGCTTACCTGACCTAAATCCAATAGAACACCTCTCGGATATCATGTTTTGGTCTATCCAACACTGCCAGGTTGCACCTCAGATTGTCCAGGAGCTCACTGATGCCCTGGTCCAGATCTGGGAGGAAATACCCCAGGACACCATCCATTTTCTCATTAGGAGCATGCCCTGATGCATACAAGCATGTGGGGACCATTTGGAGTTGCTGCAATGAAATATCAGAAAAATGGACTACCCTGCTGCATAATTTTTTTCACTTTGATTTTCGGGTGTCTTTGAATTCAGTCCTCTGTAGGTTCATCATTTTCATTTCCATCAAACTATGGGGCATCCTTATGTTCCTAACACATTACCCAGTCCATATCTGTATAGATATCCAGCATTATATTTTTCTCCATTGAGATCTGATGTGTTTTCAAAGTGTTCCTTTAATTTCTTTTAGCAGTGTAGATATATACACACACACACACACACCTACACACACTGCTTAGAGTAAATGAGTACACCCTTTTGAAAAGTAAGATTTTAATCAATATCTCAATGAACACAAGAGCAATTTCCACAATTTTGACAAAACTGAGGTTTATAGAACATTTGTTTAGCTCATTACATGAAAGTAAGGATAATATAACTTAGATTACAAAATCTTCAGTTTTGCTTAAATTAGTTGATGCAAAAATGAATACACCCCTCAAAAAAAACTACTACATCTAGTATTTTGTTTGACTTCCATGATTTGTAAGGACAACAGCAAGTCTTCTATACATGGAATGAACAAGTTGGAGACATTGTGCAACATCTATCTTTTTCTGTTCCTTAAGAATGACCTCTTTTAACCTCCCTAGCGGTCTGATTATGTCCATATTTCTGTGTTCAAAGCGGTAACTTTTTTTGCATGGAAATATGTATTGTTTTTATTGTAGGCCTGTAATTTTTAGGAATAACTCACTGAAATCTGTCCGAACAAGAGTCTATTAAACATCCCGGGTATGATAAAATTTGAAACACAAAATCATAAATTATATTTTAATAAATAATCATAAAAAATAATAATATAATAATAAATTTAATTCAATAATATAATCAAACCAAAAACACTGAAATTTGAAATATAGCGCCAAGTTCGCACATCACTGAGCAAAGTCGCAAAATTGTTTTCAGTGTCTGATGACGAATTTCCCCCACAAATCATTATCACTCAATTCTGCAAGTAGTTCTAATTTACTATCGCTGTTCTCTAGCTGGTCTAAAACTGCTTTTGACCTAAAGGGACGCTTTTTGGACGCCATGGACGTTTCTCAGTTTCCAGGCAGAAAGAACAGTAAAAATGCAGACAGGAGACAGGACAAAGCACTCGGGACAAAATGTATGTGAAATGCTTTGATACAGTAATGTTTTACTATGTGATTTTAGTGTATTTAGTGAATGTCGCTTTTTGTCATTTTCAAATTTCCCGCCGTTCCGTCCCCCATATGTCCCGATGCTCGCAGGGGACGGAACCCAGATGACAGATGCCGGCATCTGCCGTATTACATTGCCGGGGACACTGCAGGAGGGACATTGCGGGAGCGCAGGACAAGGTAAGTGAAGAACAGATGCCGGAGCAGCGCCACATGGTAAGCCCGAGTGTAGCTCGGGGTTACCGCTTTTGGTACTGAAACTTTACCCCGAGCTACACTCGGGAATACCGTCAGGGAGGCTACAGCCTGGATGCTGGATGGAGAGTGATGCTTTTGATTGGGTTCAAATCAGGACACTTACTTGACCACTGAATCACTTTTACCCTGTTCTTTAGAAATGTAACAGGCCTTAGAAGTGATGGTAGCATCTTCTCTTTCAATATAGAGCAGTATATCTGTGAATTCATTATACCAAACGTAACTCCCCAACACCAGCAGCACTCATGCAGCCCCACAGAAGGACATTACCACAACCATGTTTCACCGTAGGCACCATGCATTTTTCTTTGTACTCCTCACCTTTGCAACGCCATACAGTTTTGAAGCCATTAGTTCTTGGTCTCATAACTGCAGAGTACAGAGTTCCAGTAGTCTTCTTTTTCAGCATGGGCCCTGACAAATTCTAGGTGGGCTTTTTTTGTGCATGGGCTTTAGGAGAGGCTTCCTTCATAGACGACAACTATGCATGCCATTCCACTGCAGTGTACACCATATTGTGTCATGGGAAACAATCACCCCAGTTTGCCTTTTACTTCTTTAGCTAACTGCAGTGAACTTGCATGGCAATTTTCTTCAACCCTTCTTGACAGAAGACGCTCCTGTCAAGGTGTTAACTTCCGTGGATGGCCTAGACGTCTCTGTGAGATGGTTGCAGTTTCATTCTTGTTAAGTTTTTGTATCACTTTTGCTAAAGTATTCTGACTGATAAGTAAAGCTTTGCTGCTCTTCTTCCAGCCTTCACCTTTCTTTTGTATTTTCTTTTCTTAGGCCTTGTGACATTTCTCTTCCATGTGGTGTCCTTGCTGACAGCATTAAATGGGAAGGGATTTACTTTGTTAAGCAATGCCCTTTTAAAATCATCTGTTAGCTAGATATCTATTTAATGAATAATTAGACTCACCTGTAGTTGATTTCTTATTAACCACTTCCTGACCGCCCTATAGCAGATATATACTGCTACAGGGCGGCACGGGCGCAAAATCACGTATATATACGTGATTTCGCATTTTCGGGTAGGGGGTGCACCCAAGGCGCACGTACGCCCTGATTGCTCCGCCAAAATACTGTTTTGTGTGTGCAAATTAACAAATCTTGTTTGCAATCAATGGCTTACATTTGTGGGAGTATTTTGTAGCATAGTGTCCCATAGATAATGTTGATTCTGAAAGTAAAGTAAAGGTTTTCTGACAAATCTGTTGGGGTGTACTCATTTATGCTGAGAACTTTATATGTATATATATATATATATATATATATATATATATATATATATATATATATATATATATATATATATATATACATACATACATATATAGTGAGAACTAGCATAAAGGGTAGAGCTTTTACAGCAAACAGCCACTCTTTTTAAGGGCCTTTAAGCCCAATTTTATTTTACGAAAAGTTCCATAATATATGTTTCCCATGCAGGGGTATCCACCATCAAAACAAATGAAACAAATATTCAGCCTCCTGGCTCTTTCAGGTATACAGCCCCTTGCTGCTCTGGCTCCCACCTCTCCTAGGTGGAGCCCTCCTGACTCCTGGGCAATGACCTCCTGTCTGCCGAGGTGGAGCCTAGAACCATGATTTGGCCTCTACAAAAAGGTCTGCACACACCTGTGCAATTAGTGTGCTGGGGGGTCTGAAAACATGGACCCAGGATTGGAGATTTCATCCCTCCCAAATCACTTTGAAATCTCAAGGCCCCAGGTCACAATACGGGCCTTACGAAGCCTTATGAACCAACGAGGAAACTGACAAACCAGTTTCCTCTGCATTAAGAGAACTGCCTGGAGCCCCTCAGCCTGTATAGTTGAGAATCCTGGGTTATAACCTTGATTTAGACCATGTATAAACCAAATATATATATCCCGCTTTAATATTGTGTTGTCATGGTATGGAGCCTTCCAAAGAGTTAGAACACAATGGTCAGCATTGCCAGTTTTTAGCAGCACACACTGATCATTCATAAAATAAAAATGACATGGTGGTTGTGCAGAAGTCATTTAATAGGTCAACTTCTGTACAACCAGGGTACTCATGAGGATTAAAAGTATGGCTGGTGCCTGCTGAACCGACTGAATTGTTATCCATATATTGCTGGATTAAGGGATATATGTCACAGTCACAGCCTTTGTGTTTGTTGTTCTTTACTCTGCTTAATTCATAGGCAATCCAAATAGACAGGCAAGAGAATAGACAGGCAGATGTAAGGGACAGGATGTTCAGGCAGAGTGATTACACTAAAAGAAGGTGATGCAGGCAGCAGACAGACAAAGTCAAAGCTTAGGCAGAAGGTCCAAGTTGATGGCAAACAAACCACAGAAACCAGAAAAAAAAAGAGAAAATGACAGCATGGAAATCAAGAATAGAAGGCTTACCATAAAAATATAAGATGAAGCACATAATTCCTAGGTCTGCCAAGCTAAAAGGATAAGAACTTCAGTCTTTTCCTTGAGAAATGTACAGTATGTAAATGAGTAGCCCTTCTTTACGCTCTGGAAATATATATATATATATATATATATATATATATATATATATATATATATTTTTTTTTTTTTTTCATATCAGTAGATACTTATCTTTTAGATTGCAAGCTCTCATTGAGCAAGGCCATCTGTATTCAATTGTATTGTAACTGTACTGTCCTTTTTATTTTGTAAAGCACTGCATAATTTGTTGGCACTATATAAATCCTGAATAATAATATTATTAGTTTCAATAAAAATACATTAATAGTAAAGTGAAAAAGACCAGCATGCAAGGAATAATACATATTCTTCAAGAATGGTCCTCTAATAAGAAGAAAGTAAGTGGAGAAAAATTGCATCTATGCAGAAAGGAAAAAAAAGTAAATCACACTGACAATATTCATAACTTTGTAGGTGCCAATATAATCCGTTGATAAAGGAATGTACCTCTCCCCTATGGGTCCTCTTTCAGAAGACCCCAATAGAACTTGAAGTATTGGTTATTTTGTGGGAAAACACTGCAAGTCTATACTGCAACCTCTAAAAACAAACACACATGTACATATAGCCGAACATGCCAGACACATATGCAAAATTCAAAAACACAGCCTATATCTTTTTTGGCTGCCCTAGGCAGCTACTGGAAGGCAGGGTTAGTGTGATATGTAGTGTAAATGATGTGCACCTCAAACTGCCTAGGTCTGAATTATACAGATTCAGTTTGAAGATGCTGTATTAAGCTGTGCTACACAGCTGAAATTAAGCTGTGTCAGCACCTGTCAAAACCTCTAGAGTAATTGGAAGTGGGAGTGCCTGGAATAAAACATTGTCAGAGTTCTAATTTAATGGATCCATTAAAAAAAACAATAAAAAGGTTGGGTCAGCTGATTACTGAAACTCTAATGGATTGGCTAATTATTTTTAAAGGGGTGGGGTAGCTGATAACCCAAGAAGAAGTTGTTAAAGGATAACCCAAGAAGACACTGTTAAAGGAATAAATGCTGGATCTGCAGACATCATAGTCAGCTGAATCCTTTAACAGAGTTGAATGCTATACAACAGTGGAATATTGCTTGCACACTGTAGTTCATTCAAGTAGAGCTGTTAATTTAATTAGTGTAAATATGAAAAAGGATCTATACATCACAGGGCCTGATACATTAATGCCAATAAACTGAATTTATTCCCTTCTTGTAATTATCATTCAACAGAGAAGTGAAGTAAAAAATAAATTGATGCTTTTTAACATTAATGATGGTTTTGAAATCCTGAGCTGTTGTGATATTTACTATTAGAAATTGATCTAATAACAACTTACAAGGGGGAAGGGACTTTTAGCAGGAAGTATACTGCCCAGACCAGTTTTGTTTTTTTAATTCACCATACCTAGGGGCTATAGTAATGAAGGCTGAGTCAGTAAACATTACTACTAGGCTTTGTAAAGAAAATCAGTCAATAAATTGTAATTAGACAGAGAGAGAGTGATGCTGAATGAGTTAGTGGTCCAAAGGAACCAAACATGGGTGTTCAGGCTTTCAAAGGATCCATCCCAAACCAAAAACAGCAACTAGATGAAAGTGAGCAACACCACCCCTAAATTCCAAATATCAAAATCTTATGGAAAAAATAAATGCATCTCCCACCAGACCTAGGTTTTGCCTATGACTCATTTCACCCTTAAAAAGTGCTTAATCATAAAAGTACCTGACAATTAAAACCTGTTAAGAACTTCAGGAATGGAGCCTGTGTCTCGGGTAGGAGATACGTTAGGGGTAGGAGATGCAGCTTATTTCCTTCTTGTCAATCCTTTTTAACTGCACAAATAAAGAGAGAGAGAGAGAGAGGGAGAAATAGATGGTTTACTTACAAACTTTATCACCAGCCCCCATAAAGCACCTAACCCAAGATAAGGTTGGGCAATCCTAATCACAAAAAAGCTGCCTCTTACATGCACTCTATGACTTCATCTTAAATGAAGATGTTGAAGTAGAGTTTTTACTGTTTATAATATAAAACTGTCTTACATTTTGCTGGCTTAATGAGACTGAAAATAGTTGCAGCTAATATTTTTGCAAATTATTCCAGTGATAACATTGCATTGATGTATTAACATTTCATTTTATGCAGCTCCAACACACTTTGCCAAATTCAGAAAAGAATTCCCAGTAGAGGATTACAGTCTCTCTAATTTGCAACATGTGAATTTAGCTAAAGTAATAAATTAGAGTTATTATGTTTACATTTTTCATACAGCCTAGCTCTAGTGTCTTCTGTGAGGTCTGAAGGCTTATCAACAAATTATAACAACACTGGTTCACTAAACTAGCTACTTACAAAACAGTGATTATTACAAGACTAAATTGTGCATGCATTGTTAGGATGCCATTTATCCAGCATGTTGGTGTCTACTAATCATGGAAATAGTTGCAGAATATACTAAGCAAATTATAATATTCAGCTTCTTACAACATGCTTTTTACAGGTCACGCGCATCCCCCTACCTTTTCCTAGCTAGCATGACTGCATGCTCTGATAAATGGCTGGTAT